ACGAAGACAGAACGAGAGAAGACGAACACAAAACGAAAACGGAAAACACTGTTTAGGTCGAGACCTGCCTAGAGCCGTTTCCCTCAGGACCCATTTCCCCCTATGCCAATCAAGGTCTCCCCCCTCCGTAATTAGGAGCGCCCCCAGGGCACTCTGGGGCGGCCATGGCGCCCCCGCGAGCGCCCCCCGGTGTCTGCGGGCCCTCAGGTCTAGGCCTCCCAGAATGGTGTCGGAGGATCGCGCCGCATTGCCGATGCATCAGCCATGCGGCGCGATGCTCCGACCCCATCTACTCCGACCCCATCTACGAGGCTTCTATCAGGTTCCCGCGATTTTTACAGTTCGTCCTGGCGTGGAGCCGTCTGGGGGCCCATGTGATTGGTTGGGGAAGTTTTTTCTTTGCGTTTTTTCTCTGGAGGCCGTCTTCGGGCCCCGGGACCGTCCAAAACGGATCTCGCGTGAAAAACTCCTCCAGATGGTTCTCGGGAAGGGTCCGGGGAGCGATTTTGAGTAAATGTGGTTCCATTCCCCCCCTCGTGACCGAGTTTCTCGGGTCACAACCAGTTCAGACCTCCTGGCCGCCTTCCTTCCTGGCTTTGTCTTCTCCCTGCCTTTGCTGTCTGGGGCGCCAGCGGAGGGACCGTCCGCGGACGCAAGGTGGCAGTTTGCAGTTGCGGGAGTGCCTTTTGGCTCCGCAGTGTGAGAGCGATGGCATCCGTCTCGTTCTCGTGATCGACTTCTCTTGCGCTGCCTTGTTCCGTTTTCTCTTTCTCTCTCTCTCTCTCTCTCGGTTTCTCTTATGTATATGCAGATGCATCATCCTCTGGTGATGCCGACTACACTCCGATCGGGCTTCGACTTCGTCTTGATGTGGCCCCGATTCGACTATGGTTGCCCTCTGATTATGCTCCGATCAGGTTGCCTCTGATTGGCTGCTGTATGCTTTCGCTTACTCTGGATGCAGCCCTTCTGGCAAGGATTACTTGGAGAAGCGGGATTTGTTCACGAACTGTCGTATGTATGATCATGCAGTGTCTTGTCCGCCCCGAGGTGCGTGGACCTGCACGGCGACGTGGGGCCTGAGCGCCTTCCTCCAGGAGGGGGTGCCTCTCGCATTGCTGCATAGCTTTCGGCGCCTCATCGGCGGTGACCTGTAGACTTCGAGTGCGCGCATTCGCACTGGGCAAGCGCATGGCGAGAACGCCAACGGCGAGGACGGGGAGGTACCCTGAGGGTGTGGCCCCTCGTGCGCACCGTGCGTGATGGCAAGCACGCCTGCGTAGGCTCGCGCACGCGCGTGCAGGCTCACGCGCTCCTGCAAGCGGGGCAGGGAGAGGGACGAATGACCGAGGGTGAGGTCGCGTGAGAGGAAGCAGAGGCGTCTGCAAGTCTGGCCGTCTGGAGCGATCGGTTCCGACCCGCTCGGCGGGTTGGGCTGCCTGCTGTGAGATGCAGTGGGTGTTGCACGACCCGCATGTCTCTGCTAGCAGATCCTTGTGTGCTCTGCCTCTCTCTCTCTCTCTTTCTCTTTCTCTCTCTCGCTCTCGTCATCTGTCTCCCCTGACACTTGCCGAACACCAGTGTGCTGCACGTGTTTGGCTTTTATGTCTGCAGCCAGTATACACACACCTGGCAGTGCGCGTCATCCATCATACGTGAATGGTTCGCCAGGTGCGAGCATTTCATGATGTATGCATGCTGCCCGCATGTTTCATCATGCTTATGGAATGAGTTCTCAGTGCATGTTCAGTGGTGTGTGCGTCTCATACGGGTCACCACCTCCATGCGTCGCATTCAGAGAGGGATGGGTATGCAGCAGAACCTCATGAGGTGGGAAAGGAGTCGCAGCAGGCAGCAAAACCAGGATGAGGAGACACATGTTTTCAATGATGCGTGGCATATGGACGATTCTGTTCGTTCATTTCGTGTGGATGGATGTGCTCCGCTACCTTTCGGATCCTCCGTCAAACAAATTGGCGTGGCAACGTTGTGGTTTCGATTTTCCACTCATACACGTACCCGTGGCACCCAGAGCCGTTTTTGGCTTTGTTCAGCCGCCGCCTTCAGAGAATACCTGTGAATCGTAACCGCCTTTTTCCAGAATCGATGGATATGCTGGTTGTGCCGTTCGCGCGCTAGGTTGTGCTGGTGTGTATGTGTGAATGGTGTGCCGAGTATGCGCAAGTTCGGAGAGCAGTATGGCCACCGAAGGGATGCAGAAGGTTGTGTGCGCGATTTCCCGCACCTCACCATTCAGGGCATTCGCGATATCGCGATGACAGATCGCACCTCACCATCACCTCATCCTCGCCACCGCATCATATCGCGATATCGCGATTGCACGTGCAGTCGCGACGTGACGACACTCGACACGCCTGTTCACAAGGGCATACAAAACGCCCCTACTCTGGTTTACGAGGCGCTGTGCAGTGAAACTCCTCTGGGCTAACACGGTAAACCCTACGCGGTGTGCGGCGTCCTGGCGGCTCTCTAGGCTCTGGAGGCTCTGGGGGTTCCCAGGAGGTTTGCAGACCACGCATTCTGTCACCCAGGGCAGGGCCGTTTTTTCCATCCCTCAGTGTTCACCACCGCCGCCACGCGCACAGCGGATTGCGCAGCCCTGGCGCGCGGGCGTCAGAAAGAGAGAGAGGTCGGGCTTCGGAGGGGGGGGCGCGCCGCGCCTCGGCTCCCGCCGTCGTTGCGGGTATGCAACTCCTGGGAGGTCAAACATTCTGACCTTCCCCGGGTCCGACATCCGGCCTACATCGCTTCGGATGCAAATCCTGGGAGGTCAAAAATTCGGATCTTCCCTCGGACCGAACGACATAGGGGGGGTAGGGAAAGGGGGGGGTACGAAATCTGCTGCATGCAGCTAGTTCCAGCCCCACCGAGGGGCCCATTCCTCGATACTTGGTCGCCTCCGGCACGCCAGGAGGCGCCGGGAAAATCAGCTACGTGAGCTGATTCTCAAACCCCCCCTTTGCTATCCCCCCCTTTCGCCCGGCCCGGTTCGGAACCCGGCCTAAGCCCGCTTATTCCAGCTCAGTCCCGCTCAATCCGAGGCCCTTTCTGGCGCAGCAGCCCCCCAATGGGGCTTCCTCTTCCTCCTTAGTCCTTCCGGCGAAGACCTCCCAGCAGTTGCCTCCCAACACAGTTTCTTTTTCTGTTGCTCATCCTGTTCGCAGCCGCCTCTTGGGTCGAACATTGGCATCGGTCCTCATTCATCTAGGCCTCCAGATTTGGATCTAAGTAAATGGGGTCGGAGGGTCGCGCCGCATCGCAGATGCATCGGCAATGCGGCTCGATTGGGAGCCCGATTTTCGCCACGGCGATGGCGCCGAGGCATTGCCGTCGGGCGCGATCCCCCGTCCCCATCTGCTCGGACCCCGTTTGTCCAGATCAGGCCAGGTGGCTATGCGCCCACTGGCGCGCCGGTGGGCGCAGCGTGACCGAATTCGCATCCAAGGAGGGGAGAAACGTCCACGCGCGGAGGGCGATGGGGGACGCAAGACGAGCGAGGACCAGGGCCGAGGCGGAGCGAGGGAGGAGGGGGGAGACGACCCGAGAAGCGGGACCACGGGGGCCTTGCGGCCCGTCTTGGGGAGCCGCCGGGATCTGGGGGCTCTCTTCGCGGGCGTCTCGCGAATGCGCCTGGGGAGAAGCGCGGGAGAGGGGAAGCCCGGGCGCCCCCTGTGCCAGCACGCGGGCCGCACGTGCCTGGGCGAGAGGAGTGGCCGCAGCCGCGCGCCGGGACGGGGGAGCGCCCGAGGACGCGCGAGAGAAAGGGGAGTCGAAGAAGAGCAAACGACACAACCATAAACTTGTAGCGCTCCGCGCGGATTTCTTGGATCCGCGCTGGGCCCCCCGGCGGCGCCTCCGGCGCCGCCCCTGGCGCGCTCTGCGCGCCAGGGAGGGGGGTCCAGCGCAGATGCCAGAAGTCCGCGCGGAGCGCCAAAAGTTGACGTTGATGGCGCGCTTTTTTTTTCTCCTTCCGAGGGAACTTGGGCGCCCCCTGTGGCCGCATGAGGGGCCGCACGTGCCCTGGGCGAGGCGCGGCCGACTCCTGCGGGCAGCCAGCGGCCGGCCCGAGCGGGGTCGGCGGCCCCCCGCGGCTGCCCGTGTGTGAGGCCCTCTGGGGAGTCCGCCCCGCGGCTCACCGCCCACCAAGCCACCCCAACCCAACCCGACGACCCCGAGTTGCCTTCCGTTTCCTGTGGGGGGCATTGTAAAAACACACACACACACACACACACACACACACACACACACACACACACACACACACACACACACACACACACACACACACGAAGCCCATACCCCCCCCCCAACCCGAAATTGGGGCGAAATTCGGGTCTTCGGGTTGGGCTGGGGTGGTTTGGCAGGCAGTCAGTGGCTCTTCGGAGCTCCCCCGGGAGATGCTCGATTCGGGGACCGTCCTGGGGCCCACCGAGGGGAGCTGTTCGAGACTGGCTCGACTCCCTTTCGACCCCAGCTCGGCCGGGCCCCCTCCCCGTGGCTCTTCGGAGCTCCCCCGTCGGGGGGAGGGGGAGCGGCACCAGCACCACGAGGGGGCCACCTCCACGGAGGAGGGCCACGGTGCCTCGCCGTGCTGGATGCCGGGGCTGTCTCGAGCGAGAGGGAGGGGTGGGTGGGCACACCATCAGGGAGGCCCCCCTTTGCTCCTCGCATCTCCTCGCCCTGTTGGTGTTGGTGTCGCTTTTCCATCGGGTGTCGTCGTTGTAAGCGTTGTCGTTCTTATCGTTATCGTTGTCGCTGTCGTTATCATCGTTGTTATTGTCGTGATCGTCGTTCTCGTGGTTCCTGTTGTTATCGTCGTCGTTGCTATCGGTATCGTTGTTATCGTTGTCGTTACCGTCGTCGTGAAGGTTGTTATCGTTGTTCTCGCTGTTATCGTTCCTACCCCGGTGGGCTCTCGGCGGCGAGGGCGCTGCGTGAGGTCCGCCAGCTGGCGGGGACCGCGCGGCGGCCCCTCGCAGGAGAACGGCGTCGCGCTCACGCAGCGCCTGGTCGCCGAGCGCGCGCCGTGGCCGTCCTGGGAGTTCCGCCAGGAGCCCGCGCGCGCACGCGGCGGCCCTCTGCTGCGCCTCCGCCTCCTCCTCCTCCTCCTCCTACTCCTCCTCCTCCTCCTCCTCCTCCTCCTGTCCCCGGACCACTCGCGTTGGGGAAGCAAATTGGTCGCGAACGATACCGAATTTTGAAACAACATCGGTAGTACGGTAGCGACCGATCTCGTCGGTCGCGACTGGAAAATTTCAGCATCCAATGATTAGGGTTCCGCGTTGGATCGCCAGTTTTGAGGCCTTTGGCAGCCTTCGGGAGCCTGGAGGCGGGAGTCAATGCAAGCGGGGGTCAGCCAGGGCTCTGGATCCTGCAGGATCCTGCAGAGCCAGGGGTGCATCGACCGCGGGCTGGGGCACAGGATCCTAAAGGATCTTGCAGGATCGTGCAGAGCCTGACTGACCCGGGTGTGCATGGACCCGGGTCAGTGGATCCCCGAAGCTTTGTTCTTGTCCGAAGCTCTTTTGTTCTGAGTGTTTCTTCAGCAGTGGCACGCCGAGAGGTTCCCCACGGCGGGTTGTCATTGATACTGACGTTGCTCCCAAATGATTTCGCTACCGCCTGACATGCTTACACTATGTGTGCATCGGCCCCGCAAGGGCGCCGCGCACGCCCTGAAATCCTATGGCACACGCTCTGTGGCGGGGGTTCTCTGGCCACACCGTTCGAGAATGGATATACGATACTATTCGTGTGGCATCTCGAACACCAGCAATCTGTACTAGTATGTTTGTCTGCGCCTGGTGATTTACCTGGAAGCCAGGGGCAGCAAGTGTATCTGGCCAGGACACATTCGCACTTTCGACCTCGGCCAGGCTGAACTCGGCCGGCCCATCGGCCAAGCTGAATTCGGCCCAGGCCGAGTTCAGCCTGGCCGAGTTCAGCTTGCAGAGTTCAGCCTGTCGCGAGGTAGATGCCTGGAGCAACGTGACCACAGGCACTGGGCCGCCGCTTTCTTTCCCATCTCCCAGGGTTGGGGGTTCCCAAACGTGCCCCTTGCCCGAGGCGTCCCCAGCTCTGCGATGGTTTTGGAGCCCTCCTGGGGTTCTCGGGGCTTTCTGTGAGGCCGCGAGGGCAGGCGTTGTTGTTGCTGTCCGAGCCCAGGCCGACCCCTGCGGACGAGAACACAAGACTGCCAGGACCGTCTCGAGCCTGTCTCGAGCCCTGGGGGGCCTGAGACACAGCGCCCAGACCACGGTGATGGGCGCGGTTTGCACCACCACCGCCATAAGTTGGAGGGGGGGGTCCTCCTCCTCCTCCTCCTCCTCCTCCTCCTGATCCTCCTCTTCCTCCTCCTCCTCCTCCTCGTCATCATCATCATCCTCATCCTCCTCCTCCTCCTCCTCCTCCTCCTCCTTCCCTCCTCCTCCCTCCCCCTCCCCCTCCCCTCCTCCTCCTCCTCCTCCTCCTCCTCCTCCCTCCCCTCCTCCTCCTCCTCCTCCTCCTCCTCCTCCTCCTCCTCCTCCTCCCCCCCTCCAACTTGTGGCGGTGGTGGAAAGCACGTCCATCACATGGAGGCAGCGCTCCTGGTCCAGGTTTTTGAGGCTGTCCTGGCCGGTGGCCCGTGGACCATGAAAGAGCAGCCCGCCGCAGGGCCTGGGGCAGAGGCCGGCCTGCGGCCGGAGCCCAGGGCGGGTGCCGGGGCCGAGGGCCGCAGAGAGCCCCCAGGCGCGCGGGGTCCGACTGGAGTCGAGCAGTGGCGAAGCGTCCTGGCTCGCCGATAGGCCCACCAGAGAATGTTCTAAGATACTTCTGTGGTTTCCACGAGGTGTTCTTAGAACATGTCTGGCGGAGTCTGTCTTGTTTTCACACTTTGGGCTTAAGTTTTAAGAACATGTTTGTTGTTCTTAGAACACTTGTGGGTTCTAAGAACATTTCGTGGTAGGACTATACGAATGCTGGGACGGTCGGTCCCTGCTCAATAGAGGGGGTCACAGGCTCGCGCCGCCTCGCCGATGCATCGCCGATGCGATTCGACGAGGAGAACCGATCTTCTGCACGCCGACGGCGCCGACGCATCACCGTCGTTGCCGGATGCAGCTGCGGTGCATCGGCGATGCATTGGCGATGCGGCGCGGTCCCCCGACCCCGTGCGCTGGGAGGTCATCCAGAGGAGGCCTCTGTACTGGGGGTGAGGGCCGCGCTTCCCTCTGCAGCCATTTTGGCTCAGGGGACGGGGCGCGTTTTTCGCCGCGGCCGCGGGGCAATCGCTGGACGGGCTGGCGGACGAGGTGGCTCGTCGCTGCGGCCCGCCATCGGCGATGGCCGCTGGCGCGCCCTGCTGCTGCGGGCTCCAGGCCGCCTGGAGGGTGCTCGCGACGCGAAGCGGCGGTTGCAAGTGCCCGCTTAGCGACATCATCGACCGGAGGGACGTGGCCGCCCTGGAGGGGTTCCTGAAGAGCCACAGCTCGAAGCAGGAAGCACCGCGTAGACATAAACTCTCGGGCCTCCGCGCATTCCTGGGACAGACGTTGGGGCCCCCCTGGCGGCGCCTCCTGGCGCGGTCCGCGCGCCAGGAACGCGGGTCCAGCGCCGATCCAGGAATTCCGCGCGGCGCTCCGAAAGTTATGTGTTTTGTGTTTCTTTCCTCTTCGGACAGACAGGCCCCGCCCGGGCTGGTCGAGGCGCTTCGGGAGGCAGTGAAGGAGGGCGACGCGAACGCGTCTCCCAGCTCGCAGAGGCTGCCCCTCCACGAGGCCGTTCGCTTCGGCTCGGTGCAGGTCGTGGAGGACCTGCTGAGGGCGGGGGCCCGGCCGTCCGTCCGAGACGCGGCGGGGGAGACCGCGCTGGAGGTGGCCGAGAGCTGCCGCTCCTCCAGGGCGCTCCTGTCCGTGCTCCGGAGGGCGCAGGACACCCGGTGGCAGAACGAGTTCGACGAGAACCTCGCGAAGACGGAAAAACGATGTAAACATAAACTTTTGGCGCTCCGCGCGGATTTCTTGGATCTGCGCTGGGGCCCCCGTGGCGGCGCCTCCGGCGCCGCCCCTGGCGCGCTCCGCGCGCCTGGGAAGGGGGGTGCAGCGCAGATGTAAGAAGTCTGCGCGGAGCGCCAAAAGTTTAGGTGTATGCCGTCTTTTCTTCCTCTCACCTCGCCTGGATCCCCAACGTGCCGCTTCTCTCGAAGGTGCAGCCCTCCGAGTACCCCAGGCTCGCCGCCGCCTTCACCAGGAGGCGGTACTCCAGGGGCCGGGCCGTGGTGCAGGAGTGATGGGCCATGGGTAGGAGAGTGAGTAGGGGGAGCGGGAGGGGGAGGAGGGGAAGGGGGAGAAGGAGGAGGAGGAGGAGGGGGACCCGAGGAACTCCCCATTCTCCCATCATCCCTTCTCCCCCCTCCTCCCCATGATAGTGGGAGTAGAGGATAGGGAGCTCCTCCTCCTCCTCCTCCTCCTCCTCCTCGGAGCTCACCCCTTGAGCAACGGGGTATGCCCCCTGCACGCCCTAGTGAGAAGTCAGGACCGTTGTACAACCAATCGCAGGGGATTTTGCCAGGAGCGCGCAAAGCACCAGCGTAGGTGTTTTGACGTTGAACCCCCTTATGCGGATATCCCTCCTCCTCCTCCTCCTCCTCCTCCTCCTCCTCCATCTCCTCCTCCTCCCTGTGGTAGTGGTGGAGGGAGTCGGCCCATCACAGGAGGGCGAGCCGGGCCACGAGCTGTTTGTCATCGAGAGTGGCACGGCGAGGGTTCTCATGGGCGGCCGGGAGGTGGCCACGCTGGGCGCAGGGCAGCACTTCGGCGAGGTGGCGCTGCTCACCGACGCGCCGCGCAACGCCACCGTGGTGGCCGGCGACGAGCTGAGCGTGAAGAGGCTGACGCGTGCCGATTTCGAGAGTCTGGAGCTCAAGAGTGAAGAGCAACAAGGCCGCACAAACAAAACTAACCTTTTGGGGATTCGTCGGGCGGGGCTATAGGGCGAGGATAAATACATGCGTGCCAGAGCGCTGCCTGGAACGCTCTCGGAGCGTTCCTGAACGCATTCTGAATGCCGCGGCGCCCGAGACATGTTCCAGAGCCGCTAGACCTCAAATACTCCCGATTCATCATGTCCCGATTGTGTCCTCGCCTGGCTTCGTCTTATCAGTCGGTCCCCGACCCAAGAGAGGAGGAGGAGGAGGAGGCGGAGGAGGAGGAGGAGGAGGAGGAGGAGGTGGAGGACGGGGAGGAGGAGGACGAGGATGAAAAGTAGGAGGAAGAGCAGGAGGAGGGGGAGGACGAGGAGGAGGAGGGGGAAGAGGATCGAGGATCGCGGATCGAATACCGACTTATCGCGCGTATTATTTGGGTCGGGGATGTGGCCCCCCTTTTCCCCATGGCGGCGCCTTGTCGCGCCGTCCGCGGCATGACGGGCGGCCCAGCGCGATATAACTCTGGAGGGGGAAGACCACACACAGACACAAAGAATCGCCACCCCCCATGACAATGTTGGAAATGTAGCGATCCCGCAAATGGGGGGTGTGCCCCTGAGTGTGTGTGAGTTCGATCGATTTTTGCACCGAACCGCCCAAAGCAAATGCCCACCAGCCGCAGGCAACTCCCGACATATGATATTTGCCAATAGGTGTGGATGCAGGGGGCATCTGTTTGCGGCGGTTCGGTGCACCAGCGGATCGATTTCATGCCCCCCCTCAGGGTACACCCCCCCTTTGGTGGAATCTGGAATTTGAGGACAAGACGGACATCCATACAATACAGAAAATATGGAGAGTCCTGGGGTTTGTGTGTATTTATGTACGTTTCCCTGGGTCGCCTTTGAAGACCTCCGCGCCGAGCTCCGAAAAAGGTGTTGCTTATGGGGCCTTCTGCTCTTCCGTCAGAGACAGCTGACAGCGAGAAAGGCGATCAGACAGGCCGACGTGGCCGACGATAAGCAGCAGAAGCTGGACCCCCTGCTCCTTCGCAAGACCGCGGCCGACATTGAGTTGATCAGGCAGGCGCTGCAGAAGAACCTGCACCTGGGCCCGATGCTGAAAGCCATGAGCAGCGATGTCGTGGGCGAGATCATCGCGCACGCTCATCTCGTGAGCGTGAAGAGCGGCGACAGCGTGGTGACCCAGGGAGAACTGCGAGCAGATCTCTTCTACGTGGTGCAGGATGGGACCTTCGACATCATCAAGGACGGCAAGACGGTTGCCTGTTTCGCCTCCGGCACGTCTTTTGGGGAGCTGGCCTTGTTGTACAGGGCGCCAAGGGCGGCTACCGTAAAGGCCACTTCGCCTGGCAGGCTCTGGGCTATCTCGCGTCAAGACCTGCGGATGGTTATGCAAGCGCCTCTCCGAAGGAAGCTGGACAGGTGGACCGCCCTGCTGGAGTCGGTCGCCGTACTCAAGGATGTGCCCCAGCAGGAGAAGAGGTTACTGGCTGATGCGCTCGTTGAGACCGTCTTCCACCAGAACGAATACATCATCCCGTGTGGCGTTCGGCCCTTTCCGCCTTCTTTCCAGGGATGCAGGTTGTCTGTTCTGCCACACCCCCCTCTCTTATCGTTTATCTACTCACGAGTGCATGCGGGGAGTGGACAATAGGAGGAGGGCGAGGGCGGCGCAGGGGGTGAATCACCCTCACCTTCAACTCTTCAACTTGCTGATTGATATCATACCCGATCGGTGCAAGCTGAGAGAAGAACGAGGGTGAGGAGGAGGCACACGACGGGAGAGGAATAAGGCGTAGTCAGGACGACAATGAAGGAGGAGGAGGAGGAGGAGGAGGTGGACGAGTTCGGGGAGCGGCGCAGCACTTTTAGTCGTGTGCTTGGCGATGCTGTTTGCCACGATCGCGAGCAACGCGGTTGGGAACTCTTGGGGTTTCACGTGGGAGACAGCATCTCGTCTTCCTCGTCCTCCCCGTCGTCGTTCGTCGTCGTCTTTCGCTCGCCGTGCCACTGGGCCCCTACGCGCTGGTCGAGTGTGAGACTTCAGCTCTGCGACACCGTGCTGTTGCGTGGTCGCAGTTCTGCACGGGTTCTCGCGCTGCCCCGTGGGAGGTTGCCTGAGGTCTCGTCTTGGTCCTTCGCATGGGGACTTTCGGGGGACTGTCTGGCGGGGGGGGGAGGCGGCAGAGGGGCGGATTTTGGTCACGGTGCCTGCGCCTGGTGTCGTTTCGATGGCCCTCTCCCGGGGTCTCTTTGGGCGTCCCGTGCGGTTCTCTTCTCTGTGAAGAGACTCCTGGAGGCTTCTGGCTGCTTTCTCTTCGGGGTCTCCTGGAGCCATGCTGAGGCAAGTGCCCTCTTGAGCCCCTCTGTGGGTCCTCTCAAGGCCCCTCGTGGGACAATCTTGGGTCCGTCCTGCAGCCGCCGACGCCCATGTCTGAGGCGGAGGTTGGTATCGGTTAACCGATCCACATCTCCATCCCCATCCCTTCGAGACCCCCACCAAATTACCACCCCAGTTGGGGATACACCCCTCGAAACCCGAAGGGAACCGCCTATATCCCCATCTAGGGGGGTGAATCGGCCAGTGGGGCCCAGGCCACGCCGCTGGGGATGGGGATCGGTTACACGATACTCTGGAAAGGGAGGAGGAGCAGGACAGCACCGTTCAGAGCAGGCAGCCGTCTTCTCGACAGCCGTCGACTCTCGGGCCCCACCCCCCTGGCTGGGAGGCTCTTGGCCGACCGGGTCGCCCTCTCGGGGCCTCTTGGGGTCTCCTCGGAGGCGACGACGGGCCCCCGCGGCGCCTGGGCGCCGAGGCCGTGAGGATGGCGCAGCGTCCCTCCTCCCCTCGCTCCTCCTCCTCCTCCTCCTCCTCCTCCTCTTCCTCCTACTCCTCCTCCTCCTCCTCCTCCTCCTCCTCCTCCTCCTCCTCCTCCGCGTTCCTCGTGCTCCGGCGTTCCACCTCGGGGCCCTCGTCGCGGGTCGGGGGGCCTTCAGCGACGGAGCACGTGGTCTTGACCAAGGCTGTTGTGGCCATGGCTCGCTTGCAGAGTCGACCCGCACAGTAAGAGACTGTTTTTCTTAGGGTCGGGCGATAACCTGGGTTATCGGGCTTGCTCCCCCCCCCACAGGATAGCCTAAGTTTGCCGCTTGTGCAGGTCCGCGGGAGGGGGGGCGCGGGCATTTGCAGGGCTACCCACAGCGCGAGCAACCTTACCAAGAGTACCCTTGCATCCTTGCCTCATTGGCCCATCTTTGGCCGTTTTCGCTGGCCGCGCCCCGCTCGAAAGGCTTTCGAATGGGCGTCCAAGGCTCTTGCATCCTTCTCACGCACCAATACTATGCGGGTTGAGTTTTCATGTTCAAAACCCACATGGTTTCCCACACGGGATATCGGCCCAGATGGCACGTACATGCAAACATGTCGATGTTCTTCCTTCACTATCGTCTGTACCAGAAACTCGGGAGGCCACGGCCGGCTTCGCTTCGGCACCCTGGCCGACGGGCACCGCAGGAGAAGTCCACGTGGTGGCGGTCCACGAGGTATAAAGGTTTTTCCCTCCCTTTTCGCCTGGAGGAGCCTCGGGAGGCCACGGCTGGATTCGCCTTGAAAAACCCTGGCCGACGGGCACCGCAGGAAAAGTCCACGTGGTGGCGGTGTCGGTGCATTTTTTGCTAGAGCCCTCCGTCGACGAAGAGCAAACGACACAAATATAAACTTTTGGCGCTCCGCGCGGATTTCTTGGATCCGCGCTGGGCCCCCCGGCGGCGCCTCCGGCGCCGCCCCTGGCGCGCTCCGCTTGCCAGGGAGGGGGGTCCAGCGCAGATGCCAGAAATCCGCGCGGAGCGCCACGAGTTTATGTTTATGGCGTGTTTTATTCCTCTGTTCCGTCCGCGGGGCAGCCTCGGCCCCCGACGCCCCGCTGGTGGGCGTGGCGTGGCGGATCGTCCAGGGAGACGTGGGCGACACGTTCTACGTCCTCGACGACGGCGAGGTGGCGGTCGAGGTGAACGGCAGGGAGGTGCAGAGGCTCTCGGGCCTGGGCGCCCAGAGCACGGCGGGCCGGGGCTCCTTCGGGGAGCGGGCCCTGCTGGAGGACGAGCCCCGGGCCGCCTCGGTGCGGGTGGTCGGCCAGAGGGTGGTCGTGCTGGCCCTGCACCGCGGCATCTTCACGCAGGTCGTGAAGCGCCAGGAGCCTCCCGCTGAGGCGGACAGCATGATCACGTACTCCCTGGACAGGCTCGTGAAGCTGAGCGTCCTCGGCTACGGCGGCTTCGGCACCGTGCACTTTGTGGAGTGCACGCAGACGAAGCGCAACTTCGCGCTGAAGGCCGTATCCAAGGGGCACGTGGTCCAGCAGCGCCAGGAGGGCAGCATCATGAACGAGCAGCGAATACTGCGGATGACGAACAGTCCTTTCCTCGTACGACTGGCTGCTACTTTTAACAGCAAGGAGTTCTTGTATCGAAGACGCCTACGGCGAATCACCGCCGCCCCCTGCCTTTGTGGAAGCGCCTATGTGGCCGAACGTTGAGGCCAGACCTGCCAAGCCATCGGACCATGTGTTCCCCGAATCGGTTTGGAAAGCCTTCGGGGAACACGTGGGCGTCTTGATGGTCATCGTCGCCGTCTTGGAGGCCTCTTGGGCGATCTTTCGGCGATCTTTGGGGGCTCTTGGGCCGTCTCGGGCCGTCGGAAGGCCGAAAAAGGGAAATGCCCAAATCCATCAAAAACCTTTGGAAAATCAGTGATTTTGGCATCTTTTGGCCTTCCTGGAGGCCCTCTTGGGGGCCTCTTGGGCCCTTTTGGGCCAGCTTCGAGCCAACTTCGGCCATCTTGGTGGGTTCCTGGCACGTCTGACGCCGTCGGGAGCCGTTTTGGGGGCCTTTCTGGGCCAACGGGGGACCCTCTTGGGGCGCTCCAGGGCCGTCTTGGAGGCCATCTTGGGCGTCTTGGAGGCCATCTTGGGCGTGTTGGAGGCCTCTTGGGCCGTCTTGGGGCCCTCTAGGGGCCATCTTGGAGGCCACTTGGGCCATCAGGGGGCTCTCTTGGGGGCCTCTTGGGCGATCTTGGGGGCTTCTTGGGCCGTCTTGAGCCGTCGGAGAGCCGAAAAGGCGCAAATGCCAAAATCCTTCAAAAACCAAGGGAAAATCAATGATTTTGCCCTCTTCGGACTCTCCTGGAGGACCTCTTGGAGGCCTCTTGGGCCGTCTGGGAGGCCTCTGGGGGGCCTCTTGGGCCGTCTTGGGCCGTCTTGGACTCTCTTGGGCCGTCTTGGAGGCCGTCTTGGACCATCTCGGGCGGACTTGGAGGCCATCTTGGGCCATCTTCGCGATTTTTTGAGGATGTCCCGAGCGAAACGGCCGTTTTTGGGCACGGTGGCGGGACGGGCCGGAGCCCACTGGGGAGTTCTTTTGGAAAAAGAACCAAAACCAAAACCTGAAACATCCAGCACGCCGTGCACCCCTGCAAGCAGGGGGCGGCGGATCTAGTGGCCTTCGGCCTATTCCGCCACCGTGCCTTGTTTGTTTGTCAGAAGCCTCTGCGGAGCTCCTGGGAGGCCTCTTGGGAGCCTCTTGGAGGTTGTTTTGATGATGCCGTGGGTCTTCCAAGGAGCCTCTTGGGGGCCTGCGGGCTGTCTCGGAGGTTCTCGTCGGGCGGCGAGCTCGAAATGTGAGTTTGTGCTGCCCCTCTGGGGCCTCTCTTGGAGCCCTCTGTCGCGCCTCTCGGCGCCCTCATTTGGGCCGTCTTTGGGCCTTCTTGCGTCGTCTTTGGGGCCTCTTGGGCCGTCTTGGGGCGATCTTGGGGGCCTCTTGTGCCATCTCGGAGCGTCGAATGTCACAGGCGGCGAGAGCGCTAACATCGTTTTAGTCTCTCGGGGCCCTTCTGGTGGTGCTCTTGGAGCTCTCGTGGGGCCTCTTGGGCCGTCCGGATTCCATCGTGGGCGTCTTAGAGCGATCTTCGGGCGATTTGGGGCGCTCTTGGACCGTCTCGGGGGTCTCTTGGGGCCCTCCTTGCCCGTCGTAGGGCTCGCTGGTCTTCAAGCGAGTCTCGCGGGGCCATGCGCCAAGCACCAGCAAGCATTCGACGCGCCCCAAAAGAATCGGGAATGTGAGGTCCCCTTTGATACCCAGTCATCCACGACTGAGGACGGAGGACTCCAAGGGACCTTAGGGCACTTCAAGTCGTGCCTCAGGGCACTTGGGCGGATTTTCTCATCGAGCCTGCCTTAGGCGGCGAGCTCTTCACGATCTACCAGCGGAACAGATTGTACGGAAAGGAGGCCCATGCTCGATTTTACATTGCGTGCGTAGTGATGGCGTTTGAGCACCTTCATCAACGCCGTATTCTTTACCGTGACCTCAAGCCAGAGAACGTATTGCTAGACACCAATGGGTACGCGAAGGTCACGGATTTTGGGCTGGCGAAGTTCGTGGTCGGGCACACGTACACCACGTGTGGCACCCCCGATTATTTCGCGCCCGAGATGATTATGGGCAGTGGTCACACGCTTGCAGTGGATTGGTGGACCCTTGGGGTCATGACATACGAGCTTATCGTTTCTGACGCACCCTTCAGCGCTCATGAGCACATGGCGATTTTCAAGAAGGTTAAGCGTGGCATCGAGAGCGCGAAATTTCCCAACAGGAGTGCCTCTTGGGCAAAGCTCGTCATGGAGCTCTGCAAGCAGGAGCCTGGTCAGAGGCTCCCGATGCGCAGAGGGGGCGTGATGAATATCAAGCAGAGTTCGTGGTACTCGAGGGTGCAGTTCGATTGGAGCAGTCTGGCAGCGCGCACGATGGTTCCACCGTACATTCCCCAGGTGAAGTCCAAGTCCGACGCGTCAAACTTCGAGCCTTGCTCAGAGAGCGACGGACCTCCACATATTCCATACGTCGATCCTGGCACGGGCTGGGACGAGGGATTCGGAGACCCACACGGGCCAGCATTCGACTGAAACGATTTTCATCGCCACAACGTTTGTCACTTCTCAGGGAGATGTGATCATCACGTGCATTGGGCTGGATGCTCGCTGCATTTTCGTTGCCGCAGTGCAATGCCTGCACGTTTATGCGAGAAGCGATGCTCGCCTGCATTGGGCCTGCTGCCCACCGTCAATCGAGTCATCGCAATCTTTCTGCGGCTGCCGCTGCTTCGCCTGCCCCCCCGAGCCGGAACGCTCCTGATCCGGAAGAGGCTCGCATGATATCGGGGTCGCGCAACGGGCTCTCGGCTGTGGCTGCTCAAGCATGGAGGGGCCCAGGGACACACACACACACACACACACACACACACACACACACGCGCACACACACACACGCACATAAAGAAACACAAATCGCGGATTTCCTCACATTTTCATTGTTTTGATTTTCGTCCCCCCCCCCACGTCCCATACTTTCCCACATCTTCTGGGGAAACGACGATCAATTGTGTCTGTGTGGTCTTCCCCTCCTGAAGCCAAAGCAGTCAGTGCCCCATTCTGAATCGGGGCCGCCCCACTGCACCCAGTGCCTCCTCGGCCCCGTGCGCTGGCCTGCCGCCCCCTGCATGCCTGCTCGGCGCGCACGTCGCCTGGCCCTGCGCCCTTGCCTTAAGTCGGGCCTGTCCCTCTACAGGAAGACAGTTCAAAAAGAATTATAAATAGTCTGGGGACGATTCGTTTGGCATGTTTTGGCCATCTTGGGGTCTTGTTTTCGACTAGTGCTTAGTTTTCGTAGCAAATCTCCTTGTAGGAGGACAGGCCCGACATAAACCTCGCCCTGCCTTCTCACGCCTCGAGGAATAATCAAGTGCTCATACAGAATAAACTTCTGGAGCTCCACACGGAGATCTGGGATCGGCGGTGGCCCCCCCTGGCGGCGCCTCCGGCGCCGCCCCTAGCGCGCTCCGCGCACCAGGGAGGAGGCTCCAGCGCGGGTCCACGGAATCCACGCGGAGCCCCGAAAGTGTCTGTTCATGCAGGTATTGTTTATGTTTCTTCTTCTTCTTCTTGTTCTCGTGTGGTTTACTCTGCCTCCTGTTTCCTCGGCCCGAGACTGCGCGCCGCTCGAGGCGGAACTCGGCATTACCGACTTCGCGATCGATCTCGTTTCGCCGCGCCCTCTTTCTCGGCTGCAGCTCCCGGGAGGCCCAACATTCAGCATCCGTGCCTGTGCATCCGCGGAAAGGCACCGTCCCACCCCGGCCCAATACAGTCAACCATGATAGTAAGGATGGGGCAATTTTCCAAGGCTACCCTTGCATCCTTGCCCCTTCGGTATTCGGCATCCTTCGACATTCTGCTGCGCTCCGCACGAAAAACATCAACATTGCGTTCAAAGGCCCTTGCATCCTTACCGCGCATCCTTACTATCGTGGTCGAGTGTACCGCTCACGGTTCGGTCTCCAATGTCCAGATTGGGTCTGGTCTGGCTCGATCCGGCCTGGTGGAATCGGGCCTAGAGTAGTCCTCCGCCGTTCCACAGAGACCTTCAGGGAGTGGCCTCCCAGCTTTTCGTAAGACCCTTTTCCCTCCTGCCTCTTCTTATGAGTTTTCTTATTATTCCTCTTCTTATTATTCTTCATACTCTGCTTCTTTTTCTTCATCTTCTTCTTCTTCTTCCCCCCCTCCTCCCGAGCAGGCTACCCCCTTCGCCCTTCCCCCATTCCCCTCCGCCTCCTCCTCCTCCTCCTCCTCCTCCTCCTCCTCCTCCTCTTGCTCCTCCTCCTCCTCCTCCTCCTCCTCCTCCACCTCCTCTCGCGTGCCCTCCCTCTCGCGTAAGCCCCCGGGTCGCGCGGCCGAGCGGAGGGTGGAGGAGGAGAACCGCACTCCTTTGACCCACCTGTGGGGCCACCTGGGGGAGGGGTCATTGCCCCCACAGCGTGCCTCGCCCTCGAGGAGGGATGATGATGATGAGGAGGAGGAGGAGGAGCGGAAGGAGGAGGACCAAGAGGAGGAGGAGGTAGAGGAGGAGAAAGAGGAGGAGAAACCAAGGAGGAGGAGGAGGAGGAGGAGGCGGAGGAGGAGGAGGGGGGATGAGGAGGAGCAGGAGGAGGAGGAGGAGGAGCAGGGGGAGGAGGAGGAGGAGGAGGAGGAGGAGGAGGAGGAGGAGGAGGAGGAGAGAAGGAGGATGAGTAAGGAGGAGGAGGAGGAGGGAGGAGGATGAGCAAGAGGAGGAGGAGGAGGAGGAGGAGGAGGAGGAGAGGAGGAGGAGGGGATGAGGAGGAGGAGGTGAGGAGGAGGAGGGGGATGAGGAGGATCAGGTGGACGTGGGACAGGGAGTAGATGAGTGGTGGTTGGAGGAGGAGGAGGAGGAGGAGGAGGAAGGAGGAGGAGGAGGAGGAGGAGGAGGAGGAGGAGGACGAGTTGGAGGAGGAGTTGGAGGAGGAGGATATCAGTAGGATGACGAGGAGGAGAAGGAGGAGGAGGAGGAGGAGGAGGAGGAGGGGATGAGGCGGAGCAGGAGCAGGAGGAGGAGGAGAAGGAGGAGGAGGAGAGGCTGGAGGGAGTAGTTGGAGGAGGACGAGGAGGAGGAGAAGGAGGAGGAGGAGGAGTAGGAGAAGGAGGTGGACCAAGAGGAGGAGGAACAGGAGTAGCAGGAGGAGGACCGTTAGGAGGAGGGGGGGGGAGGAGGGAGTAAGAGGAGGAGGTGGTGGGGGAAGAGGTGAGGAGGGGAAGAGGAAGAAGAGGAGGAGGAGGAGGGAATAGGAGAGGAGGCGGAGGAGCAAGAGGAGGAGGAGGGAGGAGCAAGAGGAGGAGGAGAAGGAGGAGAGGAGGAAGAGGACAGGGGGGATGAGAGAGAGGAGGAAGGAGGAGGAGGAGAGATGATGATGATGAGGAGGAGGAGGAGGGGGATGAGGATGCGCTGGAAGAGGAGGAGGAGGAGGCGGAGGAGGAGGAGGAGGAGGGTTGGAGGAGGGAGTACGACGAGCATGTGGTGGGGGAGGAGGTTGAGGAGGAGGAGGAGGAGGAGGAGGAGGAGGAGGAGGGGGAGGAGGAGGAGGGGGAGGAGGGAGGAGGGGGGAGGAGGGAGTACCAGGAGGAGGATGGAGGAGGATGAGCACGAGGAGGGAGGAGTACGAGGATGCCGAGCAGGAGGAGGAGGAGGACCAGGAGGAGGAGGAGGAGGAGGAGGGAGTACGAGGAGCATGTGGTGGGGGAGGAGATGGAGGAGGAGGAGGAGGAGCAGGAGGTCCAGGAGGCGGAGGATGATGGGGGGAGGGAGGAGGAGAAGGAGGAGGAGGAGGAGGAGGAGGAGGAGGAGGAGGAAGGGCAGGAGGCTGAGGAGGAGCATGTGGAGTATGAGGAGGAGGAGAAGGAGGAGGAGGAGGACCAGAAGGAGGAGGAGGAGTAGAGGGAGGAGACAGGAGGAGGAGCAGGAGACGGAGGAGAGGGAGAAGACCTCTCAAGATGTCTGCCCGCAAGGGGTGGCACGGCCGCGCGACGGCTGGCCCACGGGTGGCGGCGGCAGCGCGGAGCTGCCACATTGGAATTAACCATGGCCCCTCTTCTCTCCCATGAAGGGAAGTCGGGTGCGAGTCCAGGAGGACGTGAGAAGAAGAAGGCCTTCATAGATGGCTCGGAAGGCCTCAAGCCTTCTTAGAAGTTTTCTGTGCCTTCCCCGAAAACACAACAACTTCTTAGAAGATCGGAGATCTGAGAAGCACCGCCATCGCCGCGTATATACATCTCTCTGACGCAGTGTTTTTGTTCGAGACATCGCGACGTGACCCTCCCCCTAAAGAGCATTACCCTAAGATCCTGGCTTCCCCAGAACATCGCGACGGCCGTTTTTTGTTCACTATGTGGCCTCAGGAGGCCGCTTCCCAGCCCTGGGATTGTCCAACAACGGTTTGAGCAGGAGATCGACTACGGAATCGACTTATCCCAGGAATGAAAATTGTGTGTGTCGAATCTACAACAAGTGCGTAGAACGCATGCAGATCTGCGAACATGCTATGTATTCTTCGTAGACTCGGCGGAAAGCAAATCACTGTTGGGTTTCATCAATTCTGTAGCCGATCTCCTCGAGCGGGCCCCCAGGAAGAGGTCGAGATCCCCAGGAGCTCACGTCACGAACGCCGTCGGGGGAGAATACCTAAGCCCGTGGACGGGCTTCCGTCCCGAGCAATTCCTGATGGGTCCAGGCCCCCAAGCGCCCCACAAGACCGAGATCGATGACTGGCCTCTCCTGTGATGCTTCTTTCCCAGCGTATCGGAATCAAATGTGGCCCTTTCCTTTCGCCCATGAAGGGAAGTTGGGGGCGAGCCTTGGGGGGAAGTGAGAGGGAGAAGGCCTTCTAAAAAGGCTCGGAAGCCTCCGCCCTTCTCAAAAGTTCTCTGAGCCTTCCCCGAAGACACAGAGAAATTCTGAGAAGGCCTCCTCCTTTTCGCTCTCCCGCCTCGCTCGTCGGGGAGGGTACCCTGATCTTCTTGGTGCCTGCTGGATGCTCTTGTGCATCCTGGGGGGGATATGTCCGCGAGGGTTCCCGAGTTTGGGGGCCGGCCGAGGGTCTGACGTTCTGGAAGGATGCTCTTCTATCCCAGGTCCGGGCCGAACGAAAGGGGGGGATAGGGAAAGGGAGGGTTACGGAATCTGCTGCATGCAGCTGGTTTCGGCCTTGCCGCCAGGCCCATTTCTCGATACATGGGCGCCTCCCGGCGCTGGGAAGCGCCAGGAAAATCAGCTACGTGAGCTGATTCTCAAACCCCCCCTTTGCTATCCCCCCCTTTCGCCCGACCCGACCAGTCCAGCTGTACCCAGAGCCATCCTCCACCGCCTCGGAGATCGACCTGCGGGCCCCGGGGGGGGCAGGGGGGGGCATGTTTCCAGATCCGCCCCTTGCCGATGCCCCCCCCATATAACGATCCCCCAGGCGGAGGCTATGGCTGAGTGAGTCCTGTTCAAAGGTCATCTTTGCGTGTGTTTTTAGAGGCTACTGATTGCAGCTCAGGGCCACTGAAGGCACTCAAGGCAACTAAGGCCGCTGAAGGTCACTGAAGGCAGCTAAAGGCCATTCGGCCGCCAGGCCACCTACTACTACTACTACTACTACTACTACTACTACTACTACTACGACTTCTAATACTACTACTACTACTACTACCACTACTACTACTACTACTACTACTACTACTACTACTACTACTACGACTACTACTACTACTACTACTACGACGACTACTACTACTACTACTACTACGACGACTACTACTACTATTACTACTACGACTACTACCACGACTACTACTACTACTACTACTACTACTACCTACTACTTACTACTACTAGCTACTACTACTACTACTACTACTACTACTACTACTACTACTACTAACTTCTACTACTACTACTACTACTACTACTACTAATACTGCTACTACTACTACTACTACTACTACTACTACCACTACTACTACTACTACTACTACTACTACTACGACTACTACTACTACTACTACTACGACTACGACTGCGACTGTCTACTACTCCTATCCTTACTACTACTACTACTACTACTACTATTACTACTACTACTACTACTACTGCTACTATTTCTACTACAACTACTACTACTACTACTGCTACTACTACTACTACTACTACTACTATTTCTACTACTACTACTACGACTACTACTCACACTACTACTACTAATTCTACTACGACTATTGTTACTGGTGCTACTGCTACTACTACTACTACTACTACTATCTACCTGCTACCGACTACTACTACTACTACTACTACTACTCTTACTACTACTACTACTACTACGACTACTACTCCTACTACTTCTTCTACTGCTACTATTACTTCTACTACTACGACTTATTATTACTACTACTACCTACTACTACTACTACGACTACTACTACTACTTTGCTACTACTACTTCTACTACTCATACTCCTACTACTACTACTATTGCTACTACTGCTACTACAACTACTAATCCTACTACTAATACTACTACCACTACTACTATCACTACTACTACTACGACTAGCACTACTACTACTACTACGACTGCTGCTACTACTACTACTACTACTGCTACTAGTACTACTACTACTACTACGACGACGACTACTACTACTCATAGTACTACTACTACTACTACTACGCCTACTACTTCAACTACTACTCCTAGTACTACTACTACTACTCCTACTACTTCTACTACTACTTTTACTACCACTACTACTACTACTATTACTACTACTACTACTATTACCACTGCTACTACTTTGCTACTACTACTTCTACTACCCCTACTCCTACTACTACTGCTACTACTGCTACTACAACTACTAATACTACTACTAATACTACTACCACTACTACTATCACTACTACTACTACTACTACCACTACTACTACTACGACTGCTACCACTACTACTACTACTGCTACTAGTACTACTACTACTACTACTACTACTACTACTACTGCGACGACTACTACTACTGCTACTAGTACTACTACTACTACTACTACTACGACGACTTCTACTACTACTACTACTACTACTACTACTCCTTGTACTACTACTACTCCTACTACTTCTACTACTACTTTTATTACTACTACTGCTACTACTACTACTACTATTACTACTACTACGTCTACGACTACTACTACTACTACTACTACTACTACTACTACTACTACTACTACTACTACTACTACTACTACTACTACTACTACTACTACTACTACTACTACTACTGCTACTACTACTACTACTACTACTACTACTACTACTACTACTACAACTATAACTACTACTACTACTACTACTACTACTACTACTACAACTACTACTACTACTACTACTACTACTACTACTACTACTACTACTACTACTACTACTACTACTACTACTACTACTACTACTACTACTACTACTACTACTACTACGACTACTACTAACCTTCGAGAGAGAGAGAGAGAGAGAATCCTCACCACCATCAGTCATGGGAGGAACACGGTACACATATCGCTGCAGCAGATTTTTGCTTGTCTCTTGGGGACGCCTGGGAGGCCCTCGTCGCCACCGTTGGTTTTGCTTCGACGTCCTTGTCAGGACGCAGCCCCAGAGAGGTCCAGGAAGTAGCAGTATCGTTACCTCTTTGATTTTCCACATCTGGGGCAGTTTCAAAGTGGTACAGTCGATGAACCCATAACGTTGCCTCAACATGATATTTTTGAGGTCCGCGCGGATGTCTTGGATCGACACTGGACCCCCCTTCCTGGAGCGCGGAGTGCGCCAGCAGCGGCATTAGAGGCGCCGCCAGGGGGGTCCAGCGCAGACCGAGAAATCCGCGGGGACCTCCGAAAGTTCATGTTTATTCCATTTTACGCATCGCCCCCGAATCGCCCTGGCATCGCCAATAGGAGCCTGATAGCCCACTCCGCTCTGGAGCGTGCGGTTTTTCAAAGGCAGGAAAACCACCTAGACCCGATACCTGGCTTCTACTGTGCGGCCGTGGGCATTCACCAAACAGTGCGGCCGTGGGCATTCACCAAACAGTCAGCCTTACCCTGTCCGATTCTGTTTCGGGTGCGTTCACGAAACGGCTTCGCTTTCGGGGTGGTTATCATGGGGGTGGAGGTTTCGCCCTCCAGTTCTGCGACCTGGGACACGTCGCCGATGCGTCGGCGAGGTGTCCCGCCGATTCCAGGTCGAATGTTGATGTGGTCGGCTTCCAGAGGCCGTGGCTGGGCCCCGGGGCCATGGAGGAGGAGGAGGAGGAGGAGGAGGAGGAGGAGGAGGAGGAGGAGGAGGAGGAGGAAGAGGGGGGGAAGAGGGGAAGGGGAGGGGGAGGAGGAGGAGGGGGAGGAGGAGGAGGAGGAGGAGGAGGAGGAGGAGGAAGAGGAGGAGGAGGAGGGGGAAGGGTTACAAAAACAGGGTCCCGGGCGGGGCGCCGCAAACCAGGAAGATTCACAGCAACAGCACCAGGTGATCGTTTTCTTGTTCACTGTTTTGCCGATCGGCGCGGGCCCTCGCACCCCCCACCTCCCCCCCCCCCCCTTCATTTTGTAGATCTTGGCTGTTTTTGGCGCCTGTTTCAGGCAGGTGGAGCCTCAGCCTTAGGACGCACTGTTGCAAACAGGTTCGCTGAGCAGAGGTCTGTTGCCAGACCCTCCCCCTCCCCCCTCCCTTTCCGCCCGATGTCGAAACGCCGAATAAGAAATCGCTCACATACCAGGAATATCCACAGCACAAGGAGGACCTTGCGCGGAAACTGGAGCATATATATATACACATACATACACACGCGTATATCTTCATTTATAGAGGATTACCATACATATTTGCATATATGTGTATATATATACGTGTATATTCATATAGATAGATATATATAGACGGTGGTGGGATGACTTTCACTCCCAGGACTTTATGAGGGTCGGGGACGACGTCGGGGTGGTGTGGTGTATAATTGTTTCCCCGTTGGCCCGGGGAAACAACGAAACATGCATACACCAGGATCCAGCACACACCAGGATCCGCTTTTGTGTGCGAATCTCCGTGCGGGGCCGGAAAAAGCGTCGGGGTGTAGAGTTCGGCACCTTACGTGCTTGGAGTCGGCGGCCGGTTTTGGCAAAAGAGGTAGACACGCACACACACACACACTCAGCTGGGCCACCCTCCAGGGCCCGCCTTGAGGACCGCCCGAGCACCTTTCCACAGTCAGGCAGGCATCTAATGAGCATGTGCAGCTCTGGCTCCAAGCCAGCTCGGCCGAAGCGAACCGTGGGTCCAGCTGGTTCCAGAGCCGACTTTTTGTCTACCCTGGCAGCGCCATGGAAGTTGATGCCCTGATTGTAGGCGGGGGGCCCGTCGGGCTGTCCCTTGCCATTGCCTTCAAACAGCACGGACTTCGTGCTGTCGTTCTCGAGAAGGAGACTACGGAAGTGCAGGATTGGTCGAAGGCGTATACCTATCGTCTGGATGTTCGGGGACTCGCCTGTATGGAGCGCATAGGCCTTCTTTCAGACTTCGCTTCGAAAGGTGTCAAGCAAGTAGGGTTCCACGTTAAGGTATGGAAACCAGATGGAAGTTGTATGGAGAAAAGCGCAGCAGGCATGGGATCTTTGGGCTATACGATGCAACGGCCCACTATGATAAAGATACTCGAAAGTTGTCTGTCACCTGGAGATGTGGTACGAGGAGCTCTGACAGATATTAATTTTGATGGTAAGGCTATTGTGCAGGTCATACTGAAGGATGGCACCGAAAGCCATATTACAGCATCTATGGTTTTTGGGTGCGATGGGAGACACAGTCGCGTGCGCGAGATTCTTCAGAAGATTGACAGCGAGTTTACCATGTCCAGTGTTGGGACTCCGTCCACAGGATTTGTGTACAAAGCTATGCTCTACCGGCCACCCCAGAATGTTGACCCGAAGTGCATATACCGCATCGTGTCCATGTCTGGCTTTACCCTGCTCATGTTTCCCCATGACGGACCGCCTGGTGAGCCGCGCCCTTTGCAGATGGCGCAGGCACCATCCCATCGGTTGCATAGCTTCCAGGCGCCCTCAGACCTCATTGATTTCTTGCGTGCAGAGTTTCCTCAGTTGGAAGTGGACAAGCATTTGGACATTGCCAGCGCAGAGGCGTGGTGCAATACCAGAGGCACAGCCTTTCCCAGAGCGCAGTGGTGCAAGAGGGCGTCCGCAGAAGTCAGCGGTGTACCGGTTGCTCTTTTGGGAGATGCCTTGCACTGTTTTCCACCAGACCTTGGTCAAGGCATTAATGCAGGCCTTGTGGATGTATGTTGTCTCTTGGACTTGTTTCCCAGCGACGTGAGTAACAAAGACGCTATGCGTGCAGCATTCAAGGCCTATGAAGCTTGCGCTGTCAAGGAGGCGGAGGCAATTTGCCGCTTGATCCCGGTTGGGTTCCCTTACCAGTACCAGCAGCCGTTCTCGCTAAGCAAGTTTTTGTTCATGTCCAGTTTTTTGATCAGGATGGTTGCAAGCAAGTTGCTACCGACACTGTTCTTTGATCCTGTGGTGGTGAACATACAAGCGGATCCACCGCTACTGTACAGCGAGATCTTGAGACGTCACCAGCAGGTCTCTGGCAGGCTCTTGCTGTGTTCTGGCGTCTTCATGGCGGTGTGCGCCGCCTCATGGAAGCGATTCAGAATATGATTCAGGATTTTGATTTGAAGATGGAGGGGCGCTGCTCCTTCAGCGGCGGTCGTTTTCCCACCGGCGGAATTATTTCATCATGAGTTAGCCACATGTATGTGGCGCGCAGCTGGATATGTGTAGCCTTAGCTTGCGCACCAAGTGTGTACCCGCTCGCGCGTTTCATGACTCGCCGTGAAAAGGTCGGCATGAGTCGACACGCAAGTAAAGCGGCCGTGCTGTGCGGAAACATTTGAGGGTGGCAAGAAGACGAGGACGAATGTAAAGAGGAAGTGGAGGAGAAACAAGAGGCGGAGGAGGGGGAGGAGGAGGCGGAGGAGGAGGGCGAAAGAGGAGGAAGGGGAGGAGGAGGCTGTCTGGAGCAGTGTTGCGAGACGCATTGTCTTACCACTCCTGGCTGCTCATGACTACATCCCCGCGAGGGTCGTGAATCTGTTGCGGGAGCACCGCCATGCTCGAGGTTGGTATATGCACATATAACGTGGGACTGGGCCCAGGGGGCCTGGGGCGCTGGAGCCACGACCGCAAACGGGGATGCCCTAGGGAAAAACACTGGATTCCAGAGGTTGGAACCCTAACCTCCAGAGGGTAGGGTTTCCTACTTCGGAACCTCCTCCAAAAACAGAGGGAGGTACGGGAAACAGGTAAACAAGAGGAAGACAGAAGGGAAACAAGAGGGAAGCACAGGGAACACATGTGGCAACATAGGGACAACAAGGGGACAACATGGGGAAGCAGAGGGAAAACAAATGGAAGCCAGAGGGAAACATAAGGAAAACACATGGAAAAAACATAAGGAACACATGGGAAGACACATAAGAAAAACAAAGGAAAGCATATGAAACCCCAACCTCCGAAGGTTGGGGTGTCGTGTCTCGGAGCCTTCCCAAACAGAGGGAACCAAGGGAAACAGAAGGGAGCAGCGGAAAGCAGGAGAACACAGAGAGACACAGAGGGAACATGTGGGAAAACAACGGGAAGCAAAAAGGATAACATGGGTAAACAACAGGAAAGCAGGCGGAACCCTAACCTCCAGAGGTTAGGGTTTCGTATTTCGGAACTTTCCCAAACAGAGGGAAACAAAGGGAGACAGAGGGGAACAGAGGAAAACAGGGGGAACACAGGAAAACATAGTGAATCAAAGGAAAACAGAAGGGGAAACCATACGGAAAGCAGGCGGACCCTAACCTCTGGAGGTTAGGGTTTTGTATTCCAGAACTTTCCAAACCAGCGGGAAACATGGGGAAACATGGAAACGAAAGGGAAACAGCAGGGAAATACAAGGACAACAAATGAAAACATAGGGAAACACATGAGAAAAATTGGAATCAGGAGGAACACATGGGAAAGCATGAGAAAACAGACGTAACTCAAATCTCTGGAGGTTAGGGTTTCGTATTTCGGAACCTCCCCAAACAGAGGGAAACGAAGGGAAACAGAGTGGAACAAAGGAAAACATGGGAAAACAATGGAACATTCGGGAAAACTAAGGGAACCACAAAGAAAACATGGAAATCATACAACAAAATCTGGAATCCTAATCTCGGGAGGTTTCGTATTTTGGAACCTCCCCCAGGAGAACAGAGGAAAACAGAGAAACACATAGAGAAACATAAGGAAAACATTGGAAAACACGGGAACACATATGGAAAACAAAGGAAACACGGAAACCCAACCTCGGGAGGTTAAGGTTTCGCATTTCGGAGCTTCGACAAACAGAAGGGAAAAATGGGAAACCGAGGAGAAATCATGGAAAACAGAGGGAGCACATGGGAACACATGAGACCACAGACGGATCCCTAATCTTTGGAGGTTAGGGTTTCGTATTTCGGAACTTCCCCAAGCAGAGGGAAACAAAGGGGAACAGAGGAAAACATGGGAAGACAGAGAGAAGCACAGGGAAAACATAGGGAAACAAAAGGGAAACATAAGAAAACAAAGGAACAACAGACAGAACCCTAACCTCAGGAGGTTAGGGTTTCGTATTTCGGAACCTCCCCAAACAGAGGGAAACAAAGGGAAAACAGCGGGGAGCAGGACAACAAAGAAAACAGAGGTGAAACAGAGGAGGCCCCAACCTCCGGAGGTTAGGGTTTCCTATTTTGGAACTTCCGAAAACAGAGGAAAACAAATGAAACAGGGGAGCAGAGGAAAACATGGGAGAACAAAGAAAGCAGAGGGAACACAAAGGGAACCTTAACCTCTGGAGGTTAGGGCTTCTCATTTCGGAACCTCCCAAAACGGAAGGAAACAGAGACAAACAACGGAAAACAAAGGAAATCTGAGAAAGATGGAGGGAAACGGAGGAAAACGGAGAGACGCCCGAACTTCTGGAAGTCAGGGCTTCTTATCTCGGAGCCTCCGAGAGCAGAAGGAACAGAGGCAGAAGGAAAACTGAAGGACGCAGAGGAAAACAGAGGGAACCCTGTGGTGTTGGGTCCTCGTTTTGAAGAGACAGCGCCCCGCGTTCACTCCTCCCGCTGCCCCCCCCTCCTCCTCCTCCTCCTCCTCCTCCTCCCTCCTCCTCCCCCTCCTCCTCCCCCTCCCCCTCCCTCCTCCTCCTCCTCCTCCTCCTCCTCCTCCTCCTCCTCCTCCTCCTCCTCCTCCTATCATCATCATCATCATCATCATCGTCGTCGTCGTCATCATCATCATCATCAGCATCATCATCACCATCATCAGGTTGCTACCTCGGAAACAGAGACAAGAAGAGGAAAACAGAGGAACGCCTAAGAAAGCAAAGGGTACAAATGAGGATAATTAATCTAAGCGTAGGGAAATATGACAACTGATAAAAACAAATTGAAATCGAAGGGAGAACATGAGGAAGTAAAGAACACATGCGCAAACAGGGGGAAACAAAGGGGAACAAAGGGAAGCAGAAGGAAACACATGGAAGGAAACAGAGGCAATCATAGGGAAATAGAGACACATAGAAGACACCAGAGAGAAGCATGGCACACCAGAGGAAGCTTGAACCGGGAGGTCAACGCTGACCTCAGGAGGTCCGAGTTTCCTGACCTCGGAACTCCTCCATACAGACGGAAGCAGGGACAAACAATTGGAAAGACACACGCACAAGTAAACGTAGACAGACAGAAGGAGACATTGAGAAACATGACAAAACAGATAATCAATGATATACCTACCTTGGAATGTCTCCATACAGAGGGGAGCACATACAAGCAAAGGGACATACACAACCATAAGGAGCCATTGACAGACAGAAGGGAGCATTGAGAAACATTCCAAAACAGAGAGTAAAAGGATAACCCTAATTCGGTTTGTCTCTATACAGCGGGAAACGGAGACAAACATAAGGATCGAGACACAAACATATGGACACATAAACAGACATGATGGAACAGTGAAATGCACAACAGAACAGAGACACCAGCAGAAACATGGAGACACTAAGATATATAGGGAGACCGACACTGACGTCAGGAGGTTCGAGTACCATACCTCGGATGTTTTCCAGGCAGAGGGACACAGAGACAGAGAAGAGGGAACAACGACAAAGAACAGGGATCGTGTACCAACAGAACTAACCAGAGGCAAGCATGAGGGAACACTGGCGAACATACGAAGGAAAGACAGCCATGACAGAAGGAGGCAGCGACAAACAGAAGGAGACATCGACAAACTTAAATAACCAGGAAGGTCGGAATATTAACCTCTGCAGGGCGGACCTTCTCTATGCCGCACATGCGGAAGCATGGGGAAACATGGGGGCACATATGGGAACTCCAGGGACAACATGCGAGACAAGAGGAGGGGAACCATAATGGAAATGTTACCCTGTAGAGCTCAATAGGGGAGACCAGCACGGAGCGAAGCGAACTTAAACAACACAGAGGGCAGCACATAACAATTCGGGAAGCACATGAAACAGTCACCTCGAGACATTGCTTCTTCGATCTTCCCGTATGACGCCATCGGGGAACATAGGGCAACTGAAGGTATAAAAGGACACCGTCAACATTCGGAGTTGACCACCGCTGCCTTCTCAGAGGGGACCCAAGGGACACACCGTGCCCCATAGGAGCACCTGTGAACACACAAGGACACGGAGAACATAGGGGACACCAAGTTGCGCACATGTGCATCGCCATGGGAAAACCGGCATGTGTTTTGTCGGCAGCGCTGGCGGTCGCAAGCGCATAAGTAGAGTTACGCCGTACACAAGCAAGGGGAACTACGTGATTCATATGAGACAGGAAACAAAGAAAATTATAACCTCTGGAGGTTACTTGTCGCTTCTGTTTTCCCGGACGGAACCGCAGGGAAACTGAGGAAAAGTGCCCATGACGATGGGAGCACAGCACTTACTTCGCGTGGAACAACCAGATGGCAACATAGGAATCGAACGTCAACGAAATGAACAAACAACGGACACCTGAGGGAAGCAGAGGGAGACGGGAGACAACAGGGAATGCACAAACCTTCGCAAGCCACACGCTTTACCTTGTATCAGTAAGCGAACAGGATCCTCGGGAACACAGGGCATTATAAGGAAACGGAGTGGAAAACAGGGAAACATGTTAGTTGTGAGTGAGTGGGGGAGTTAGTGATGAGTAGCACTTGTGAGTGAGTGAGTTGCAGAATGAGAGTGTGTGCGAGTGTGTAAGTGATGATGCTGCGGTGATGGTGATGACGATGTTGATGGTAATGATGATGCCGATTCTGATAATGGTGATGGTGATGATGATGCTGCTGCTGATGATGATGATGATTCTGATGATGTGAGTGTTTGAGTGTGTGAGTGTCAAAGTGTGCGGGTGAGAAGTGAGGGGGTGTCCAGAGAAAACAATAACTCCACTTTGGATGTGGGGAAACAGGGAAAAGCAGGAGTTGGGTAGGATTTGGGCATTCTGGAAGATTCGACAGAGGGAACAACACGAGTTGGGCAAGATTTGGGAGTTGGGGAGATTTGAGAGTTGGGGAGGACTTGGTGCTTGGTGGGGATTCTACAGAGGCAAAAACGAATGTTGGGGAGG